GGGGGTTGGACTAGATGACCTTTAGCTTTAGAGGTCAGCCCAAACTATTCTGTGGTTCTATCACAGGACTCAGGATCCAGGTTGTCCCAAGCCTGTCCCAGAGGACCAGCGTGGGGCTGCCCCCGCATGTGGGTGACGGGACACCCCACATGTTCATCTGGCTGAGACTCACGGGATGCTCGGGTGGGCCAGCATCTGGCCACTCCGTCCCCGTGCCGTGGCATTGCAGGCGTGAGGGGACACATCTGGCACCACAAGTCCTTCCCCCTCTCTCAGTTAATCCCTCTCCCTGTATGAAAAAAAGGCGCTTTAATTATCCACCCCCTTCCGCGTGCCAGAGCCCGTCTGTGTGCAAAAGGATTTATTAATTGGTGCGGCTGCTTCCCGGGGAGCTCACTGGCTCTTTGAGGGGACGGATAACAAAGGCTCAGGATTTTGATTTGGTTTTTAATTTATTTTCCCCTTTTTGTTGAATAAAAAGGAGGGGAAAAAAAAGAAATAAAAAAGACAGAATTAAAAAGAAATGGGGGATAAGGTGGCGGTTGGCATTAAAGGCCCATTTAAGCCAGGCTTTGGTGGAGCATCTCCTGCAGGATGCTGTGGGAGATGGGGAAGCCTCCCCGGTGGCCCCGTGCCCCCCCAGCAGAGTGGCCGGCTCCCCCCCTCGCTGTCCCCAGGGCTCCCCTGGAGCCGGCGGCTGGGCCCCGGGGGGGACCAGGCGGGCTGAGCCGGCAGCCCCGGGGAAGCCCGCGGGGGCCGGGGGGGACCTGTGTCCAGGTGGCGGGGATGGATACTGCCCCCGGCCCCATGCCGGCAGGGAGTGCTGGGAGTGCAGCCCCGGTGGGTGCAGGATCTGGCCCCGTGGTGCTGATGGGGATACCACCCCGGCGGGTGCAGGACCCAGCCCTGCGGTGGTGGCAGGCAGCTGGCTCCCAGCAGGTGGACGGGGAGTGCGGCAGGACCGTGGTGTCCCCCGGGGGGCAGCTTGCCGGTGGGACGGGCAAAAAAAACCCCCCCCCCCTGCCTCTGGCCGTGGGCGCCAGGGTGGGCGGGGGGCCAGCACTGCCTCCCTGGGGGACACACCGGGGCTTGTCACGGGGCTGCAGGCAGCTGCCCTTTTGCTGCCCATCACTGCCTCCTCCCTGCAGCCCAGCCACAGCCCTGCTTTTCAGGAGAGGGCCTGTCCCCTCCCAGCACCCCAAGGCGTTGTCCCCGCTTAACGCCCACCGGGGCGGGCTGGGGTCACCCCAAAGCCTCCAGGAGCCAGAAGCCACCCCGGGCTCTGCGAGCCCTTGGGAGGGGGAGCAGGATTTGGGGGGTTTCGGGGCCACAGCCACACATGGGAGTGGGAGACCCCCCCCAGCCCTGGGATTTCACTCTGGCTTCTGTAGCACCAGTTACTGCAGGTACCCTTGTTAGGTTTCAGAGTGAACAGACCGTTGGGCTGGGCAGGCGGGTATGGGCTGTGGTGCCTCGCCCTGGCAGGAGTTTGTGCAAACCCTGTGTGATGCTGGGGCCATCCGAGCCCTGTGGGATGCGGTACGCGGGGTGCAGTACCTGGGGTGCGGTACCTGGTGGCAGGGCGCTGCAGCCCCCGGGTGGGGACTCTGGAGGTGCCGTCCCCGCGCCAGTGACACACCCCGGCCGTGTTTCGCAGGTCCTCCCTGACGTGCCCTCACTGCCTGAAGCAGAGCAACACCTTCGACCCCTTCCTGTGCATCTCCCTGCCCATCCCGCTGCGCCAGACCAGGTGAGCCCGGCCCCGCGCCTCCCCAGCTGCTCGCCGGCGCGGTGAGAGGCACGGCCGCCGCTCGGTGGGGTTTTGGCTCCAGCGAGAGTAATTTGCATATTTTGGGGTACATATTTTGGATAATTAATTCGGGAGGTGGGGTGGGCGCGGACCGGGTGCGGGCCACCGGCCACC